CCCTCTTGAAGTCAAAAAGCTGTCAAAAATGTGATTTCACAGTAGGGAATCGATTCCCTTCAATGTGGGAATCAATTCTCTTAAACAGGGGACACAAAATTCAGCCACTGTAAAGGCTGGGAATCGATTCCTTTTTTATGGGAATCAATTCCTCAAAACAGGGGAGCCAAATTGGAGCCATTGCCTCCACTGTCATATGCTGGGAACCGATTCCCTGAGGTATGCGAATCGATTGTCAGGAATCGATTCCTTCTGTGCAGTTTTGAAAAATATGTCATTTTATAACCTACAGTTAATGATATTGCTTGGAGAGGTTATAATAAATAAGTTTTATGCTTCCGCGAGTTTTGCATTTACAATTACAGTGTTGTTTCTAATTGATTACGGAAATGGTTAATGTTTAAAGATAAAGATGTAACAAAAGGAATAGTTTACCCGTAATTTAATTAACTCAATTACTGTGATTGTAACTGCGCTTAATACCATATGCAATGATAACACTACCGGTACGTAACAGGCTGTTACAATAATAATTCCTAGATCAATTTAACCCCAATTCTTCATGTTCTACGTAATTAACTATCGTAAATTTTGTTAACTTTCATTTACATTAATGCTAACATGATGAGCGAACGCGCATGCATATGGAATGTTAAAATATTAATCTCTATTACTATATTTTTTTTCTCCCAACCCCAAAGCAACATAATTTTGGGGTCACAAAAGCATTAAACTCTAAATTATTTAACATATTTTAGTTAATAAAGTGTTATAACACTTTCTTAAAATATTGACCACATCACTAATTTTTGTTAATAGTTGGACGGTAAAGTGATGCAGGAACATTATTTTTTATTTATAGAACTAAATCACATTTAGTAAAAGAAAAAAATGTAATTATACAAAAAAAAGAATAATAATGAAATTTTAAATTTCTGCAACACTCGCATAAAAGTGACTGAATCTCACCAATTTTTCTCTCTTATCTTTATAATGAGACCCCCACACATTCACTTTTATGTGAGCATGGCGTAGAAAAAATTTCTACAATAAAACAGAATATTTTTAGCAATATCAAAACATGAGCTATATTAATCATTCTAAAAAAATAATATATCTATTACTCAAGGAGTAGGGGTGTCTAGACCGGCTTACAGAGGCCTACGGCCTAGCCTATATTAAGCCAGACTTGGCCTATTATAAATAGTAAAATAGAATAGGCATAGGCTTTTAAAAAAACCTATTTAGAAAATAGGCCATAGGCTTTTTTGTACATGTCGGGACTATAAGCCTACAGGTCGGTCTATATCATATTATTTATTTAAAATATAATAAATAAGATTATTATTTTAATAATTCTGTATAATAAAATAATATTATTTTAGGTATTCTTTTAATTGTTGAATGTTTAATAGGCTTAAACAGGCTAACATGCCTAGTCCAATGCTTTTATTTTTAAAATATAGGTCAGACCAGACTTGTAATTTTGGGCCTACACAGGCTATAGGTTAGGCCATACGCAATATTTTTTTACACAGACCTAACCTATTTAAGTCAAAACTTAGCTTAGCCTAGCTTATTTACACCCTTATAAGGAGTAATATAATCAACATTTGTGATTATTTTCAGATCTATTACCAAATTTATCGTATACAAATACAGAGTTTACTCGAAGTTTTATTTTAATGACTATAAAGATTTGGGATCTACATACTATAAGTATTTAAAATCCTCCATAAGTAAACAATTCCGATGATCACACCCAGCCCCAGATGATCACACCATCCCCATTATTTATCATCCCCAATCGGACAATAATTTGAAACCAATCCGGTGCCACTTAAACAAACCTTACACAATAGTCAATCTTCCAACCATAAAAGAAAAAATTAAATAAAGTTTAACTCATAAATTAAACTACTCATTGATTATATTATTAAATAGAAGGTCAAATAATGCATAAGTTTCATCCTATCCAACATTAAACTGAATCATAAGTAAAAAAAAATAAAAATGATTGTTTTCCTTCAGGTAAATTTTGCCCTTTCACGTAGCATGTATTTTTATACGAGAAATGTTACTGATCTACTTTTTATTTTTTAACATATTATTATTAAATAAAACTTACAGTACTGGTCGAAGTAAAATTGTGAACTTGCTCTTTATCTCTTTACTAATAAAAGATTGTTTACCAAAAAAAAATAAAAATCATAAGAGAGTTATATATATATATATATATATATATATATATATATATATATATATATATATAAGGCTTATCGTTTATCAAGTTACTTGAGATAATTTATCTATGTCTACCTAAAAATTACATTGTTTTGTTTATTTATTTTCTTATATTTTTTGAATGATTATAATTTCCTTTTTCTCTCTCTTTCTTTATTACCATTGATCCATCTTTGTACGGTTATGATTTAATAGTCAGAGATAAAATTATATCAAGCAACAACCAAATGGTGGTAGCTCAGTTGGCGCGTGGGAGCTGAGCAGGTGGAGTGAGAGCATGTGTTCAAATCTCCCCGGTACCACCTTTGAGAATGGTTTAAAGCCTTAATCCTGGACCCGCTCCGAATCGGACTAATCGCGAAGCGATGAACCGATGAAATATTTCAAAAAACAAAGCAACTTAAAAAATGATAAGCCCGGTATATATTACTACTATTTCACGTTCCATCGCTAGTAAATTGGTTTTCCAATGGGAATACCTCTTGTGGATAATGGATATACTTCCTCCGTCAGTCTTTCGAAAGCAAAAGCTAGAAATTAAGAGGCGTACGCAAATTGTAAAATAATAACAACAATAATAAGAATTTGAATGTTATGAAAATAACCGGAAAAAGTTGATGATTTTTTTTATAAATTCCTTTGTATTTGTAAAATATGAAATATCACGTTAGAATCACTCCTTCCAAAAAAAAAATACATTTTCAATTTTTTATTCTAAGAAATAATATAGAATTGCATTAATACCTGATAAAAGTGATAGGGTCACTTTAGTCACTTATTTATCAGTTTATCATTAGTTAAGTAGTTCCTTATTTTACGGAGATTAGTTAGAAGTCAGTTTATTCTTCGTACTCTCTGTATATAAACATTTTGTATCATCAGAATTAATTAGAAGATTCATTACTTCATTTTCATGTATCTTTGAGTTCTTTGGATCGTAATAATACCTGTCATGCTTTTGATTTTTTTGTTTATTGTGTTTAATCTTCATTTATTTTTATATTATTTATTTTGGTTATACATGCATGATCATGCGATTGTATTTGTTGTATTTTTTCGCTTATGCTTGTTTTTATCAAATATTGGTTTGTATAGCCTTCTCAAAATTTGATTAGAATTGCCATAATCAGAAGATAACGATATTTTTTTTTTTTGGACTCTACCAGCATTCGAACAAGGACCATTATGGGGTTGTCCTCCAACAAGCAACAACTATCATATTGACCATGAATGCTAGTAACTATATTTAATATTGATGGATATGCGGTAGCACAAGATTCCAGAAGATGGGCATTTCCGTAACAAACGTAGAGCCAATTTTTTCATTTTCCTATTTTTTTGCAAATACCATCTCCAAGGTGGTATTTGCAAACAGTATTTTTTGACATCAATTTACACACAACACCGATTTGTACGGGTAAAATGGTTGTCTAGTTTTATTTCTCTTAACCCTCTATCAAACATGGCATTAATAGTATCCCACTCTCACTTATCCAGCAATCCCACCAAAAACCACCTACCAAAACCCCCTTAGTACTACCGTCTAAGATACGTAGACGGATCCTAGAATTCTAAAAATGTACTTAAGATGCATTTATGTGTCCTAGAATAAATGAATTACTGATGCACTTAAGATTTTTCCATCTTTGGGGAATAAAATAGAGGTCTCTTGTGATCACAAGATAGTAGTCACTCCATGTATTCTACAGAACACGGTCTCGCGGTGGCCTTCTGATGGTTGCCGACCGGACTAAGGACAGACGGTGTCCAAAGACAGAGATCCCAAACTTAGATATGGACGTTGGCAAATGTTCAACCCACAATCACTCATCTGTTTATTGATAAAGCGTTATTTGGTGATTCAATTTTTTTTTTAAAAAGGGGTTGTTTTGGTAATTACAACTCATTTTTCCATCAATATTTTATCTCCAACCAAACATAGACTTTATAAATTTTACCTAATTTTTCTGGTAATTTTTTTCCAACAAAACAATTTTTTTTATATTTTCCTACCAAACTTACTTTCTCACAATTTCTCTAGGAATTATATTTTCCTAGTATTCAAAAATTTTATTCCGAACCAAACGACGCTTAAAGGTTTTCTCCCAAAAGACAATCATCCATTATTATTAGGCACTATATAGGATGCAAATTATCTTGAACTTAATTTTTTTTCTTATTTTGATCATAAATTTTTATAATCTTGCATACATTCCATCTGTATTTTCTTGTGTGCTTTCATTACCAATTATTATATGCATTTTTAAAGGAATTAGTGTTTATCTTTCAAATGGCATAAAATTATGTCATTTAATCAAAATTATAATATTTTATAATGAGAGAATGAATTATATAATAAAAATTATGATGAGAGAAAGTGAAAGATTTTTTTAATTTAAATATTAAATAAAAAATAATTATTTTAATTAAAATGACTGTCTTTTTTTAAATAATTTCATAATTATATTTTATTCCCCTCGTGATTTGTCATTGAATAATCAATATATTATTAACCTATTAAATAATAAAATAATTATGTAGAGTAAAATGCTTATTTAATTATATTAGTATGTAATTTAATATCGCTTGGTTGATCAAAGTACAAGAATTTATGGCTTTGTTTGAGTAGGCATTACATTACTCTAGTGGAAAGATGAGGACGAAACATATATTGACACGTGGACCGATGTTTAAAATCGGATGCAAACCTATTTATATTCCTCTCTTTATTCTGTGTCTCTGGTCCGCCTCTTGTTTCTCTCTCACATTCTCTCTCTACACGCCGTTTTGCTCAGCTCTCACTCCTCACGCTCTCTCTCAAACCCTAGAGACCGGACACGCTCCCAATTTTCCATGATTCCTCTCGATCTCTGCCACTGAACTTTTTCTCTTCTATTTTCTATCCGAGATTTTTTCAATCGGTGGTGAAAGGAGGATCATCGGAGATACTCACACAGAGGCAGATAGATGGCGGCTTCCACCACAAGCCAGGTTTATATCGATGTAATCGAGGATGTTATGGTCAAGGTTCGGGACGAGTTCATCAACAACGGTGGTCCTGGGGAGGACGTTCTCAAAGAGCTTCAAGCTGTAATTTATCATTTTTGTCTCTCTTGTTCTATGTGTCGATGATTTCTTTTTTTTTTTTTCTTTTCTTTTTTGATATATTAATGAGATTAATTAATATTCATACTTGTGTTTGGAAGAAATTTACTCTCTCAGCTGGTTGGTTGATTTAGGGTTTGGATCTGATCAATTGTTTTGCGGGTTTTCTGTTTTTTTTTATGAGAGTTATTATTTATTTATTTATTTGATTTTTTTACGGCATCTGCTTGAGATGGTTTTGGTTTTTTTTTTTTGGTTGACAATTTGTTTAGATGTGGGAATCAAAGATGATCCAAGCTGGTGCGGTGCTCGGTCCCATAGAAAGGTCTATTGCAGCAAAGCCAACACCTGGTGGTCCAATTACTCCTGTTCACGATCTTAATGTGCCGTATGAGGGGACTGAGGAGTACGAAACTCCTACAGCTGAAATACTTTTTCCCCCTGTGAGTTTTAACCCGAACCGTATTTATGAGTTTTACGAGTAAGGTGTGTTTTTATGAGTTAAAATTCTTGGGTTGTTGATACGAGCTTTTGAATGTACAGACGCCATTGCAAACTCCAATTCAAACCCCTTTACCAGGAACGGGGGATAGCTCAACATATAACATTCCTACTGGACCAAGTGACTACACCTCTCCTGGAAATGATCCAGGGGGAAATTCTGATTTAAAAGGAGGAAGACCAGGTCCTTACATGGTAAAGCTCATTTTGCTGGTTGATCCCATGATATAGAAAAAAGTTTCCTCTGTCTTCCATTGTTTTGGTTTCTCAAATGCCATTCCCAATTCATGCACTTGATTCTATCTGTGGCTATTCTACAATGGTTAAACTCTTCTGCTTAAACAATGTGCATGGAACCTTTTTTTTTAAAATGTGTATATTGATATTGTCATCGTATTCTTTTACAGCAACCTCCTTCTCCCTGGATGAACCAGAACCAGAGGCCTTCACTTGATGTCAATGTTGGTGAGTCCCATTTAAATTCGGTACAGAATGTTTAATAAAATGGCTTTGCGATAATGATGGTGTGTATTACTGCAGCTTATGTGGAAGGGAGGGATGAGGCCGAAAGAGGAACTTCTAATCAACCTCTGACACAGGTAAGCATCTGTGAGGTCTTATAGAAGAATGCTTGTGCCCTGTTGTTAAAATTTAAAGTGACCCCGTTGTATTATGAAGCCAGAAAATATCATTACTTTCTTATTGCAATATTTTTGTGGATGTTTTAGTCAAGTTTGATCTTATAGTTATCACGCTTAAATATTATTAATGCTTGAAAAAAAAATCCAGGACTTCTTCACAATGTCCTCAGGAAAGAGAAAGCGCAATGATTTGGCTTCACAATATAATGGTGGTGGATATATGCCTCAGCAAGATGGAGCTGGAGATGCTGCATCTGGAATTTTTGAAATTGAGGTATGGTTTTTTTTCCTATTAGCCAATATATATATTTTTTTAGAAGTTATATCAGCTGGGTGTTTTCATATCATTTGTAAGTAGTTTTTGTAAGGATGTTACTAGTCAAATTTATTGTCTTTATCATCTCTGTTGTTTTTGCTGTAAATGAGTTTGTGATTTATGATTGAATGGGAGCAAGGTAATGATGCTCTTTTACAAGTTCGAGAGAAACAGTCTTTTTGCAAAAATGCAAGGTTAAGGCTGCGTACAATTGACCCTCGCCCCAACCCTCGCAAAGTCGGAGGGTTTGCCTTGTAGCTTATAGTCTTTGAGGCATTTGAATGTGACACCAATTATTCAGCTCTTCATTAACTTAGGTTCAGATTTCCATGTAATTGTACTGATATTCTAAATTGAATGAACTTAATTCCCATCTGGGAGCAACTTGACAATCTGTGAACCATATTCTAGTATTTTCCAATTTTAGAAGTCTGATAAAAATTGTGTACTCTATTTAGTTTCTCCAGTCCAAAGCTTGTGTTTGTCAGATTTTCTTTACTATATTACCTTTTTCATTTTTATCCAATTTGGAAACCCAACTTCACTTGCACCACTTACTATTTGAGGTAATTTAACATTTTGATTTGTTCTCTTAAATGAAATGATAGACAACTAGAGGTAAGCTGATATGGTAATGGTAGACACTGAAGTGCAATTAATGGTACTTCGGTCATTATGCTGTCAATAGTTTCTCTATTTGCCGTAACAGCTTGTGTTCTTTTGTGAATGAAATCATGCTCAAGGAAGTCAAAATCGAGATTTTACCTAAGATCGAAAGAGGTTGACAAGATCGTAAATAGAGGGATCGACACGGATCGTAAAGATCTTACCTTCTTAATTTTAATTATAAAAAATAATTTTAGTTATTTCTCCTCTATTTTTCTTTTTATATTTTCAACTTGGTCTAGTGCCTTTCTAAAACTTCTCAGGTATGTATAAGGCCCGGATTTTATAAATTCTATTTGTATCTTCAACTTCAAAGTCCACGGCCTAGGTTTCCAATGTATAAGGCCCAGATTTTACAAAGTCTATTTGTATCTTCAGTTTCAAAGTCCACGGCCCAAAATAATTTTAAAAGAACCCAACACAAAGGAAGGACTGAGACACTACACAATACACTTGCAGAATTATGACACATGCCCAAAGAAAAGTGCCCATGGATTCTCCACTACCAATAACCAACTATTACAATCAGCATGATTTTCCCCTTCCCACCCACGGACATTATATAGGCTCTCAATCTCTCTCTTCTAACTAACTCCAAATAGCTAGACCTGGGCCCATTTGTCCTAGCCCATCAGTTTCATACAGCTTTTTTGTACAGATTTGTCCTGTATATACTGAGTGCTTTTTTTCTGTAGTCTTTTGGTCTTTACTTGATTAAGTTTTGTTATAACTTATGTGAGCTGGATCTACCATAATTGATAATTATTCAAACCCATTGCTTTTCTAGTCAATTGCATTATGACTAACCTTTATTTGTCAACATATCAAATTATCCCTTCTCAACAATTTATTATGGAAAGAGTGAGCATTCACTATCTCATTGATCTGCAGTATGGGTTTTACTCAGATGACTTTATTGGAAAGTTTAGATTGCTGGCTTCTTTCCCAGCCCACTCTTGTACACCATTCTGTTGGCTTTTTACAGTACACATGCGGGCTTTTATTTTTGTCTGTCTGTTAGTTCATTGACTTGCTTGGTTGATAGATAAGTTTATTCAGTTACTGATCTGTTGAGCATCAATCTTTCAGGTATGTGGAGGGGGTATCTCCATGAATTCACATCACACTATTTTTAAAGGGAAAATGCCAGCAGATTTGGACAGGTCGGCCTCTAGGATTCCCCAGCTTGATGGACCAATTCCCTATGATGATGATGTGCTTTCTACTCCAAATGTGAGTACTGATTTTTCTCCCCTCCTTCCTGTGCTTATTTGAGCTTTTGTAATGAAACACTTAGCTATTTGTTCTTTCCCTCTCCACCCAGATATGCATATTTACTTGTTTACTTATTCTAGTTTCCTATTGTCCCTCTGTAATTTTTTGGGAAAATGCACACACAACCCCCCTTCAACATTTAGTCCTTGGTAAGTAGACACCTCAGCTTTCAGTTTTGGCAATCAATAAACCCTTTAAATGATGAAAAAGGTTTCAATAGCCACTTTTATTTATTTATTTGTATTTAAGGGCACTTATTCGTAATTTGAGTTATTTTTTGTTGCAAAATAAAAAGGAACTGGACCTTTAGATATATCTCTTCGGAAGTAGATCATTTTGGTGAGCACTTAGTAGTGAGAAATGTCATAGTTTTAAGTATCCATATTTGCATGGGTGTCTGTTTTAATTTAGGTTGTGAGGTTCATCATTGTTGACAATGGATTGACTGTAACTAATTCTGAGGAAACCTTAAATAAAAAAAAATTAAAAAAAAGTTTCTGAGGAAACCTTTAACTTTATAAGTTATTTAATGGATTGTAATAAATATTTCAAATTCTTTTAAGGGGTTACATTTTGAATTCAAGATGGATATTCTAATATTTGTATAATTGTGAACTTGAATTAGTTGCATATTTCACAATGGGATAACTCTGATATATCAAAGCTTAGTGCTACTTTTGGTATCTGAATCCTCCAATTAATTGGATGTGTTATTATTTAGTCGAAAAGAGAAGATTGGATGTAAAATTCCGCTTAATTCATTCTGCACGTGCTAATCTTTTAGAATTTTAATTGCATTATGCTTCATTTGACACTTCCATCACTATGTCTTGCGTATCTTCTTACTGGGTTTATTTCATCCTGTGGCAGATCTACAATTATGGAACAGTGTTCACTGAAGACTACAACATTGCAAATACACCAGCTCCTCCTGGTAAATTGAGAACGTGAATATATTGATTATATTTTGAAGATTTGTGTGACCCATCATATATTTATGCATCACAATTGCTACTGATTTTCTTTCCTTTCTTAATTATTAGAAATACCAGCAAGCACCCCTGCTCTCTTAGTTCAAAATGAGGTGGGAAATGATGATAACGATGATGAGCCTCCATTAAATGAAAATGATGATGAGGATTTGGATGACCTGGACCAAGGAGAGGACCAAAATACACATCATCTTGTTTTGGCCCAGTTTGACAAGGTAACAATCTCCTTCCATTTTCTGTGTTTTAGATTTCAATTGTTATATTAATATGATATAGTTAATGTTTTGGGGTTGGATAATTATTTTCGGACTAATAGAACTGTCTTGCTGCAAATTTAGGTGACACGTACCAAGAGCAGGTGGAAATGCGCATTAAAGGATGGTATCATGCACATCAATAATAAGGACATTCTCTTCAATAAGGTTTGTTAGTGTTGAAGGAGAACAAATAATGATATTTTCTCATCCTTTCAGTTCAGTTTATCAAATTGTCATGATGGATGATACTATACACTTGTGCAGGCGACAGGAGAGTTTGACTTCTGATTTTGTTGGTCCCAGTGCTTTAGTGAAGCATAATTCAGACGTGCGATTGAGTGCTTGGTAATCAATCTTTGATTATAATTATTAAGTGAAGATTGAGGAAGAGAGAAATCCTTTATAGTTTCGAGACTGTTGTTTTGATGTTGGCCTCTTGTACATAAAGGATGCGCAATTTTTGGCCTTTACATGATGGTTAGATACTCAGGCATTTCCTTAATTCCACCATTTGTCTAGTGTGTAGTTCCTTTAGTTCTGTATACTTGGACATTTTGGTTAATTTAAGAATTGCATTGTATGATAGTCGTCGTTTATTTAGGCTTGGTTTAAATCGTCTGTCCCTCTTGCTTAGCTTTTGGACCCTAAAAACTGTGCAAGACTCTTTTTAAGTTCTGACATACTGATATTGATATCTGGTACTTTAGACGATAAAAGAAAGGAAAATAAAACATTGATGTATGAAGATTACAAAAATGTTTTCTACAATGTTGTCTTGTATGTGCTCTTCAGGATAAATGGCCAATTTTAGTGACTGGTTTTTGTGCTACCTGGAAGGATGTTGTGTACTTTTGTTCGTTTACCATGTCGGCTTCTGAGTTGAGAATGAGAACACTAGTGTCTGTCTACTGCCATTGTTTGACCATTAGGATAAGCAAGTTCGGCTGTGTCAAAGTATATTCTATTTTGCTTCGCTAACCGATTGTGTTTTATAAAAGAATAATCGCAACATTTTGCATTGGCTGCTTATGTTTTTTCCTACAAGATTAACAACACGCTGAACCAAAGTGGCTTACATGACAGTGGATTAGAAATAAAAAAAATCTTATGATGTGATTATGAGTGTCCCTTAATACCGTATCATCCTGTAGATAGGTGATCGTGAAATAGGTGAGTAGATTCATATCGTGATATTTTTGTGTCTATTTTTTTCGTCATTAATAATAATTGTATCTTTTCTATTTAATGCATGTGAAGAAGGATATAGATATAAAATTTTCATGTGAAATTTTATTTTGAGAGGTTTCACTAACAATTCAGATTGCTATGGTTTGTCTTAACTGCGATAAAATAAGAACCATTTCTAACCAACCTTGAACGCTAATTGCACTTGGGAATAAATGGATCGTATTTTTATTATTTAATTTTGAAGGAATGCATCTGTAATTCAACCTTAATAATGCTAAATAATATGCTGTAATTAATTCACTAAGGGGGCGTTTGATACAGGTGAAATTTAAAATCTCGATTTTTAAAAATATAATTTTTACATTCAGTTTATGATAATATTCGAAAATTTAAAATTTAAAAAAATTTAATTTCCTGAAAATCAAAAAAAATACTTTGTACCAAACTGCCACTAAAGGCAAAGGATAGGGAAGTGCAGGAGTTCCTTCCTCCTGTGAAAACACCCCAGTCCCACAACTAGAAACAGAAAATAATGTACAATAGTACAATGCCTTGTGTTGAAAATGTAAAACCCAATAAGAGTAGAAAGAAAGTTTGAGGTAAATTCACTGGGCGTGGTTCACACACACGCATTGCTTTTGGAAGAAACTACACAAAGATGATGGTTCTGGAAATGGAGGCACAGCTGGATGCACCCATCCAGGGCTTGGCGTGGGGGATGAACCCCTACCGTGATTGATACTGGTACGATTGCTATCATTCTCTGATATTTGAGCTTGAATAGTAATATCTGCATCCAATGGCTGTGGGGATAGGATGAGAGGGGACAATAATGGAATTGCCTTTGAAGCCTCACCAAAAGGGTTAGAGGGGAGCGCATTGAGGACCTTATCAATGTCGAGACAGGTAGGGGCATGCTTCTGTAGCCTTGTAGGGTATCCTCCAGCTCTGCTCCTCTTTATCAAGTTGTCTTTGTCCTCATTCTCCATTAATAACGTTGCTGATATTAGCTCGAATGAATAACAAATTATGGGACTTCAACGTAATCAAGTTGCAGGAAGATGTATATGTTCCCACTTAGCTTGGCTAGGGAAAGGTATACACAAGACAATAATTTCGATCTCTCTCATATTGTCCATGTCCAAATGCAATTGCAAAGATTTAAAAGGAATGGGGCATAATAGGATCTTTCCTTCCTCAACTGACATCGCCTGAAACGTAAGTTAACAGCAAAATGATCCTACGTTTGAGTGGCTTATAGCTTTTGTAGGAGGACCCGTCCGAATAACCTTTATTCGCTCATTTAAAGAAATGGTTTTTTCGTTTATTGTTGTTGTTAGTCAATGTTTTGTCCCGCAAAATATGGAGGATAATGGGAACGCATGTCACGCATAACTAACTGACTGACTCACACGGTCCTTATATGGAAACATTACAGCCACTGTTTACTGTTATTAGTTCTACAAGTTTTCGAGTAATTCCATTTATATACTGGGTTTTATAAGAGTTACGTCGTAGGAAAAATGATTGTGTAATTTTATAGAGATTCATTTTGTGTGCCGTAATTTTCTTTTTTCTTCAAAAAGTGTGGACCCACAAAATGTTGTGTGTAGAAAAGTTTGTTGTGTCATGTTAAATGACAAATGCAAATCCTTTATATACTACTTGCATTATTGACCATTAAAGTGTTTCTACTAATATTTACTGTCATATTTAGTTAAATCCAAACATTTTCATGTTTACATGTAATTGGGCATCAACATCAATCACACATTTATCTCAAACTAATTAGAGTGTCAGGTTAATCCAAATGAAAAGTAATTGTACATATATAAATATTTTGAAGTTGCCATGGCAGTAAATTTATTTCTTTTAGACTTACCTTGGGTTCCTTTAAGGGGAAGAAAAACTTAACCTCCTGCTAACTCGTAAAAAGGCGCATTGCCTTTTATTTTTATTTTTTTCTTTTGTAGGTGAGTCCCTGTTGTATGTGTTGGTGGAGAGAATTTATTATCGTCCGGACCACCATTTTTTAGGTGGTTCCTTAGTGTAAATGAAAAGGTAAAATTGAAAAAGAAGAAAAAATAACAGGGGTAAAAAAGGAAAAAAAAATTAGTGTTGTGAGAGGGAACACCAAATCATTGAGTGATCCTGGAGCATATTAAATATTTCCGTGTTGTTGATATGAATTTGGGAATAATGTTAAGGGATGGCATCCAAGTCCGATTTGATAAAATTTTGGGATACCAAGAAAAAAATTCAAAGGAGCAATTAATGGGTTGATTTTATGAAATAAATATGATTTAAACCATATTTCATGAATCGGTCCATTGAGTGTTTCCTTGAATTCTTTTTATTTTTTTCAGATCCCAAAATTTCATCAAATCGGACTTGAATAGCACCCCTTAACATTGTTTTCAAATTTACATAATTTGGAAAAAAATTAACTTCTCGTGCAAAAGTTATTTTCCCTTCCTTTAATTCATAGAAATAAAAAATTAGATATAAACTTCATATAAAAATTTGCATGAAAAACTTAGCTTTAAGAACTTGTTTCATTGTGTTATTTTTTTTTGGAAAATTATATTATACAATTGTTTTTTAAAAGTAATTTACAGAATAAAAATATAAAAATAACTTGTTCGGTGGATTTTGTTTAAAAAATAAGTTTTGAAACTTGAAAACACTCTTGCCATAGGAAAAATATTCAGTGATTGAGTCTTTATTTCTACTTCTCTCTCCTCTCTCCTCACATTCTCTCTCTCTTGCTGGTATATGTGGGCCTGGAGCGCTGAATATTCTCTCCTTGCCACAATGATAAATTATGATAAATGGAGGCGACAACAGTTCTAACGACGGCCAGTGGTGGCTTTAGCGGCTGTGACTACTGTGATTGTGACAGTGGTTTGAAGTGAGAATAAAAAATCTATGAATGCAAGTTGAAAATAAAAAAATAAAATAAAATGTCTTCTTCTTGTTTTCTAAAAATAAATTAGAGAACAAAATTTTAAAACAACCAAATGAAAAAAGAAGCCTGATAATATTATTTACCACTTTAATCTTTTTACTATTATTTTTGTATTACTGTTAGATTGAATTCAAATCAATAGTTATTTAGGAAGATCTCACATCTTTACCTTTTTTTAGTTCATCCATGTCATCTATTTTATCTCATACAAATACAGAAAAACTAAATAAAAATAAAAATTACACTCTCCGCCACACAAAACAAAGAGAAAATATTTGTCATTTTAAAGTACATAAATTTAATCATTTTAAGTGAATATTTTGATGATTTTTTAACTTCTTTCTTTTACAATATTTTTTTTTCTCTCTCCTCCCAATTTTATGGAGAGAAAATATAAAAAAATTATTAAAATCACCAAAACACGTCATTTCACTCAAAATGGCACAAAAGTTGTATACTTTAAATTGACGAATATTTTTCCATTCTTAAATACAGGAAAACTATTTTCATGCACAAAAATTAAGCGCTTAATTTTTCACTCTAAATTATAAGGGATCCTAATAGTCGTCCTTAGAGTAACCCTTTTACTTTGTCTTATTTATATATTTACTTAAAAAAAAAGCATTTATATCTTATAGAAAGTCATCAATAACATGAAATATTGGATCATACTTAATGTGATTATTATGTTTAAGCTTGAATTGAAAATCCCAATGATCACCCTACTGCGTATAGAAAAGGGAGAATTGTGCAACTCATATAAAAAAGTCTTCTGATTTAGTATTACCATTTTTGTTATCCACTATGATTCAAGTGCTGATGTTACTTTTTCATTCTCACCATCGAAGGTTTAAGATTATTGATTTTCGTTTTTGATTTTAATTCTTGCAACTTTCTACCATGTAGCTTTGTCTGACTACTCTTGGAGTTTATTTATAGGGCATTGAATTCTGTTAATTTCACTGGCGCTTTTAGTAGCAGAGAACATTTCCTCCCTTTATTTGGCTACTGCTTCAATGTCACTGCTGTTCTTTAGAATCCAGAACCTAGAAGTGGCAACTTCAAACTATAGGGCCCTATGAATCTATTGAGGTATAATAGTATACTTGGGTGAATCTGTCACCTTGTGTATATCGGCAAAATTATTAAAATAATTTTACCTATCAACTTAAACTTTTAAATTGAATTACTTTTTCACATTATATGAGTTTTTGTATCCTCCTCACCACCCTATATCCTATTAATAAATTTTTAAATATTTGTGAAAGGGGTTATATATTATTCATCCTTCAAGTCCAATAGACTCTTGTGTAAAAGAACGTATTAGAAAAATATAATATATATAAAACCATTAAAATAACGTTCACATAACATTTTAAGCTACAAGACCTTCACCTAGATCTTAAGCTACAAGTTGAGAACAAATTTCTATGCCCTTTGTTAACTAATAACCGAGTCATAATTAACCCCGTCTAAAAATGATGTAGAACTTCAGGTGTGCAAATAAAACTAGTGTTTCTACAATGAATCCTTCCACAAGTGCTTGGTGCACACACTGCACACATTTTTTTGGGTTATCATGGTGCGCAAGTTTATTTCCATTCAAACTAAATTTTACACAATATTGGAAATGATCTTTCCAGTCTAATTATTGGATACATACACAAAAAGGCCAAAAAAAGAGAGAAAGATATTGTATACATATGGTCATATACAAAAATGCAGAAAGGAGATCTTTCAAGGACTTTTAATTTGCCTGAAGAATTCTCCCATGGCTCTCTTCCTGATCAACTGCAAAATGTGGAACGGTCACATGAAATATGGGTTTTCTGTAGTGACAAAACAGTTTGTATGAAAAAAAAAAAAAGAAGAAGAAGAAAAGACCAGATTATAGTGTCAAGCATGTATCATAACAGGATAGCAGGAACATGAGATAATGAAGTGATGTTTTACCTTGTTGAGCTTTGGTTATTTGAGAGGAAGCGCGTGTTGTAGGAGTTTTGACTGCATATTGTTGTGATGGTTCCTCATTCCGTAGCAAAGAATTTACAGCTCCTCTCACCTTCTCCATAACACCTGCATTATTGGAGCTTGTATTTTTCTCCCTCAGTGGTGGAGATGAGGTTGATGAATTTTGTGTATGCGATAAAAATGAGGAATTGGGTGGGGTGATTGAACAAGTTTGGGAGGACATATTAGTAGGAGGAGTTGAGGAAACAGCATGATTTTTGGAGGACATAGAATGGGCTGCATATGACCCTTCAGCTACGGTTTCAGTCATTGTTTTGTTTGGACAAGGAGTAGTAGTAGTTGTAGGTTGAGTTTCTGTTGTTGTGGACTTTACAGGACTAAGAGGCTTTTCTTGATCTTGTTCCACACCGGATTTGACATTGCTCCGCAAAACATGCTTCTCACAGATTACTGGACTTGCTCTTGGATGCTGCCTTGCATTTTCTTTGTACTCGTCAGGTGCCAGCTCCGATTCATAGACTGAAATGTAATGTTCATACAATATATATATATATATATAAATATTAAAAGGAATGAGAAACGAAAGAAAGAACAAATGTTTGTGCAAATGATCAATAAACTAAGGAATTCAATGATGTGTTATATATTACTTGGAGCTCCAAGGTATTCAGCATCATCTTCTTCCTCATCCTCTTCTAAACTAACACCCCAAGATGGAGTGAGGTTCTCATCTTCTTGTCTTCTCTTGCTGAGGCTGTAACGCAATTTCCTGGCTCTTTCCTTCACTTTGGTCAGAACTGATTTCTTCGGATAGAGGCCTTGGTCTTCTTCAGGGTCATGGTGCTTCATCCTCTCGAAGTAAGGAGACAAGGGAGAATGGGAGGTAGGAGAATAGGTTGGTGACATCCTAGAGGATTCACCTGTACGTGGAAACAGAATGATAAGAATATGATTTTCCTATGGCCATTACATTCATATCATAAAACAAAACAAAGCATGCTTTTTTCCTTAATTACTTTCATTGACAAATGCATGGTTTAACATTGATTTATATGTCTAATGGCAGTGGCATACCCTTTTTGTTAGTGAGTAGGTACGATGGACAGAGACTTCAAAAAACTTTATGTGTAGTGTCTGATACTTTCTGACATTCTATGACACTCTCCACATTCCAACACGCGTTACAAAGACTCAAAAAAGGTTTTAAAGGTTGTGATGTTTTTTAGTTCTAACTATTAAATTTATTAGACTACGATAACTATTTTATTGAGTTTAATATAAATATTTGTGATATCTTATGTTTTTTTTGCAAGATTAATAGATATTATAAGTTTGTTTTATTTTTTGTTAAATTATTGAATATTAAATATAATATACACTACATAAATTAAAAATATTATTTAATATCAAAATGTGTTTTAACACATCGAAATCTAATTTTTTTAAATTAATATATTAAAATATTTGTCGTGTCGTATTTCGTGTTCCGTGTGAGTGCAACATAGTTGAGTAGCGTAACATAATTAAGCTTTGTCTAAAGCCATGATAATTGTTTAATGTTAACAACAAAGGATTACCTCGAAGGAATTGTTCCATGGTAGCGGCGGTTGGACTTCTTGAAGTATTAACATGTCTGTACGTGCGTTCCTGCTGAGGCATTTTTTCTGAGTAGCTCCTTGGATTGCAATTTGCCTTGGCTTTTGAAATAACTCTGGTTTTTATATTTGTTCATACAATGGGTTATAACAGGCAAAAATTTAACACAAAATGAACCGTGCTCAAGCAAATTGGTTCCGGGGTTCTTGCACAGCGCAATGATGCAGAGGCTAACGTGGAGACACACTTGTGGGCTCATTTTTTACACGTGGAGACTATCAAGTTTTCTTGCACTAAACCTTACAAATAAGTACTTACCTGAAATAGTAATTTGACCAGGCCCAGGATGAGAAAATTTGTTGAAACTTGAAACACCTTAACTGGTAAGCGGAATTGATAAATTAAGAACCTTAACAGTAAAATATAACAATTATATATTTCAAATCATGTGCATGAGAAAAAAAAAACATGAAATATATAAACAAGGGGATGGGATAACGTGACTATTTTTTTCCATACCTACCTTATATATTAATATCCAATATCGTTACATCAGAATTTCAAGAAGAGAGAAAAATTATAAAAATTAGTTGAAATTCTAATCTAATGATGTTGGAGATTAGTAAATAGAGTATATATGAAAAAAGATAGGTGAAATAACCTAACCCATAAATAAGTATTATTATTGATGTAAAATAAATTAAGAATGATGTGGATTAAAATGTTCTACAATGCTACAATATAATATAAATAGTTTAATATCAATTACATGTGTCACAACCGAAATCGTGAGGACAAGATAGCCTAAATTTAAAAAATTTAAATAATGAAGTCGCTACCAATTTTATTTAAATTAGGAAAAACTAGAAAACCTTTATATTTTAAATTGGTCTTTTAAATTTGAGATCCGGTTTTGGGAGTCTATTTATGTATAGGGAAAACTAAATTTCACTGCATTCCTGATATATCCATTTAGAAAATGGTTACTGAAGTTAATTATGCAAATCATTATTAAACTTTAAAAGTTTATATGATTTCCCAAAAATTAAATGATAATTATTTATAAAGAAAAATTAAATTATAAAATTTTTATTTTAATTTGACGGGAGAATTCTCTCTCCGACGTATTCATTGGTATAATAGGAAACTCAAAGCTACGTCATTCTTAAAAATAGTTTGTGAGTTGATTAATTTAAATTTTAAAATATTTATTGAATGTATAATATTTGAAATTATTTGATTAATATTTTTAAAGATATGGTTTTAGAAAAAAAGCTTTAAAAATATTAATAAAATAATTTCAAATATTATACATTCAATAAAAATTTTAAAGATATGATTTTAGAAAGAAAAAAAATAACTCTGCCTATGTGTGCTTGCATGCATGGTCTGTACCAAGCCAGGATAAAGGAGAAGGGTTGGCCTCAGGTCTAGCGAATCGACCATAAAATGCAGCTATATTTATGAGATGAACCCTTATGATTTTTCGTTGGGGCATACCCTTCATAGCGACGCGTTAAATCGGGCCCCGGGTGTAGCGAAAAATGGGTTAGGGCCCTTGCCACAAGGCAAGGCGCTGCATCGGGCCCCGGGTGTAGTGATAAATGTGCTAGGGTCCTTGTCTCAAGGCAAGGCGTCAGGTCTTCACCCGAATTTGGTGAGAAGTATGTCAGGGTCCCAACACGCAGATAAGCGAGCGTGGCGGGCAAGTACAGCTCAGGGGTTAAGGATGCGATTGGGAAGTTGGAACATAGGAACATTAACGGGTAAATTGAGGGAGTTAGCAGATGTTTATGCTAGAAGGAAAGTGAATATTGCTTGCTTGCAGGAAACTAAGTGGGCTGGAGAAAAGGCCAAGGAAGTGGATGGAACTGGTTTCAAGTTATGGTACATAGGTATAAACAAGAGCCGAAATGGTGTTGGAATTATGATTGATAAAAGTTTCAGAGATAAAGTTGTTGACGTCAAAAGGAAAAGCGACAAGATTATTCTGGTTAAGCTTGTAGTGGGTGATTTAATATTGAATATCCTCATTGTGTATGCACCCCAGGTTGGATTGCAACCAAATGATAAGAGCCAATTTTGGGAAGACTTGGAGGAGGTTTTGAGGGGGATACCACGAGAGGAGAAGATTTTCTTAGGAGGAGATCTAAATGGTCATGTTTGTAAAAGCAATGGAGGTTTTGATAGAATTCATGGAGGTTTTGGCTATGGGACGAGAAACGAGACTGGAGAAGATATCTTCAATGTTGCACTAGCCTACGATTTGATGCTAGTGAACACCTTTTTTTCGAAAAAGGGAGTCACATCTAATCATATATCATAGTGGCCAAAATCGTAATCAAATCGATATCTTTATGGCTAGAAGAGAATATAAAACTTCTTTTGTCGACTGTAAGGTCTACCCTGGAGAGTGTGTTGCTAAGCAACATAAGCTGGTAGTCCTGCAGGTTCAATTCAACAAAGTACTTACAATGAGGAAGAGGGCCCAGAACCCAAGGATAAGATGGTGGAAGCTTAAGGAGGGAAAAGAGAGACAGTTCAATGAAAGAATGTTGCATGAAAGACCTTGGAAGTTTGACGGAGGAGTAAATGCATTATGGAATGAGATGTGTATTCAGAATATGGGAAGGAGGGTGTTGGGAGAAAGCAAAGGAATTGGATTTCATACAAAGGAAACATAGTGGTGGAATGGAGAGGTGCAAGAGGCAATTAAACATAAGAAGAAATGCTTTAGATCTTTGCATAAAAGCCCCAATGAAGAGAACTTGCAAAAGTTTAGGTTGGCAGAAAAAATGCAAAGAAAGCAGTGCGGGAAGCTAGAGGCAAGGTTTTCGCCGATTTGTATAAAAATCTCGGGAGAAAGGATGGTGAAAAAAGTATATATAAACTTGCAAAAATAAGGGATAAGAAAAGTAAAGACCTTACCCAAGTTAAATGCATCAAGGATGAAAATCAAAAACTTTTGGTGAGAGATAAAGATGTAAAGGAAAGATGGATGAATTACTTTAACAAACTGTTTAATGGGGATGGCGATATAAGCGAGGTGGACTCAGAGGATGCCTATGATGATTTGAGTAGAAGATTTGTGCGCAGAATTAATACACATGAAGTTAAGGAGGCTTTAAAGAGGATGAAGACTAATAAAGCCTTGGGACCTGATGGTGTCCCTATTGAAGTGTGGAGAGGTCTGGGGGATGTGGCAATACAATGGTTGACCAATATTTTCAATAAGATTCTTCAGCCAAATAAGATGCCTGATGCATGGAGAAAAAGTATGATTGTGCCTATTTACAAAAACAAGTGAGATATACAGAATTGTTCTAACTATAGAGGCATAAAGCTAATGAGCCATACTATGAAGTTGTAGGAGAGAGTTATTGAACATCGCTTGAGGAGAGATACCAAGGTTTCTGTAAATCAATTTGGATTTATGTTAGGAAGATGTACCATGGAAGCCATTTTCTTGATGCGACAATTAATGGAAAGATATCGAGAAAGGAAGGACTTACATATGGTGTTCATAGATCTTGAGAAAACATATGATAAGGTTCCAAGGAAAGTTTTATGGTGGGTTCTTGAAAAGAAAAAAGTACCATCAAAGTATGTAAAGGCAATCAAGGATATGTATGATGGGGTTACTACATGTGTGAAAGCTTGTAACGAAACATCAAGTTATTTTCCTATCACGGTAGGTGTACACCAAGGTTCGGCTCTAAGCCCTTATCTCTTTGCCTTAGTTATGGATGAACTAACAAAAGATATTCAAGAGGAAGTGCCATGGTGTACGCTTTTTGCAGATGATATTGTGCTTATTGATGAGAGCAAAGAGTGTTAATAAAAAACTTGAATTATGGAGAAGCACGTTGGAATCTAAAGGATTCAGGTTAAGTCGGAGCAAGACTGAGTATCTGAAGTGTGAGTTTTCTCTGGTAAGAGATGTAGACCAAGATCACGTACATCTAAGTGGTCAAGAGGTACCCGAGAAAGATGCTTTTAGATACTTGGGATCCATTTTACAAAAAGGTAGAGAGATTGATGAGGATGTAAATCATAGAATCAGAGCAGGGTGGATGAAATGGCGCAGTGCATCTGGGTTTTTGTGTGATCGCAAAATCCCCCTTAAGTTAAAAGGAAAATTCTATAGAACAGCAGTAATGCCTGCAATGCTATATGGAGCTGAATGTTGGCTACCACATAGGCAACATGAACATAAAATGGGAGTAGCAAAGATGAGAATGTTAAGGTGGATGTGTGGTTATACGAGGATGGATACGATAAGAAATAAAGATATTCGACGAAAGGTAGGAGTACTACCGGTGGCTGAAAAGATGAGAGAACATAGATTGAGGTGGTTTGGGCACGTAATGATCCCGTAAGAACAAAAGTCTGTTACCAAGAGCTCAACACAAAGAAAGGTAGAGGTAGACCGAAACTTACTTGAGAGAAGGTAGTAAAACAAGACATAATAGAGTGAGATATAGATTGACGGACGGTGTGCCTTAGAACGGAATGGAGAAGAGCTATAAGGATGGTGGAGGGTTAGACCCGTTGTTATTCCTATGTTCCAGATTGTCCCTTTTTAGTCTTTTTCCTCTTTATTTTCCCCTTCTTTTATTACTTATATATATATATATATATATATATATATATATATATATATATTATTACTATTTTATTTTTATTTTTATCTTTTTTCAACCTTTTCGTATCTTTTATTTGGGTTCATCTACCACCGACCCTAATTAATTTGGGATAAATGTGTAGTTGATGTTGATATTGATGATTTTAGAAAAAAATAGTTTGGTTAAATTTTGAACCATCGAGTTGTCGCAACTCGGACACTTGAAATGAAGTCATATGATTAACAAGACGTCGCAGCTTAATGAATCCCTTCTTAATTAAAGCGAGTTGATTTTTAATAAATGTATTAGTGCAATATAATCCGGTAGAGTTTGGTTCTCTAAGCTGTCATAGCTAAAGTGAAGTAACAATCTGTCTCAACTCAGTTAATTCTTAAAAATAAATTAATTTTGATGTTATATAATATTTACTAATTAATA